CCAACATTCACTGCCATATAAGAAGATATTGTACTACTGTACTGTACTGATGCGGCATTCACCCTGGGCGGATTGAGCCGGCTTCTTCCTGTTATGAGAAGAAGATTCTTGGGATAAATTACAGAAGTAGGGTACCCAGGGCTACTCGAATAACGTTCTTGCTTGCCGCGGGGTTCCCACAGACGCAGAGACAGGAACGATCAGAAGCCGCCGGTTACCGATGCAGACGCTCCTTGGATTTTCACCAGAGCCCTTGTTAGCCGGCGTGTGTGTCAGACCTGTCCGTCTTGGGTGGCCCTACCAGGAACGAAGTTCCGGGCGGCATAGCTCTGACACTACCGTTTACACCCCCCACCGACTGTGAGGTCAAGGGTTGGACTTTTGGGGCTTACAGTACCAGGTGTTCCCAAGCGGTCCCCCATCTAAGTGCTGACCTGGCTCTACGATGCTTAACTTCGGTGATCGAACGAGAACCGGTGTTTCAGCGTGATTTGACCGTAAGCAAGAAGATAGATACCACATCACTCTTTTCTTTATTTCTAATGAAATTTTCCCGTTTCTCAGCACCTTCTTTCGCTAGTCCAATGCGTGTTCATATCTCAGTGCCAGAATTTCTATTCCCTTAAAAAGCTACACAGCTATTTAAACTTCTGCACATGCTTGATATTGACATCTCTACGTTATTTAAAATATCTGTTTGCACACAAATAGATACATTTAATGCATGTTTTTTGTTTTTGCTTTCTAATTGGTCAATTTTGGTGGTTGTCGAAACTTTTAGAGAGAAGATTTTTTTTAACGTGTTTACCTTGAAGGAGAGAATAAGAAAAATTGTTTGTAGGCTTGTTCTTTGAGTTGCGTGTAAATGTATATTTTTTTTCTTTATCCGTTTGAACGAAACCACTTCGAGCAGGAATAAAACAACGTTTTGGACATAAAAAAAGAAATCTTAACGATAATTTCTCTTTAAACGGTGTCAACTTACTAAATGACGAGACATTTGACCAACTAGATTGGCCTCGAACGCAAGTGTAAGTGTGAGATCTGGAACTCTTCACACATTTAAATAATTTCAATTACACATTTTTCTTTTTTTCTCAAGAGTTTATAGTCCTAATTGAAATATTTATTTCAAAATAAGTGCATTGATCAAACATAATGTTTGATTTTGATTTTTTATACAGTTTTCTTCATTTTAAATATGTTTTTTGAGCACTTAATGTTTTTTTTTCTGAAAGGGATTTTTATTATGGATGCTTTTGCGAAATTAAATAAAAGATGACAGCGAAGAGCTATGCAAGAATCTTAAATGCTTACTCCAGACAGCTCATGAACAAATATGCTTTTCCTTGGAGTGGGACCCTCCTGTAGAAGAAACACCTTCGACATACCAGTTCGAAATAAACAAGGTTCATGATGGTCAGAGAATCAGAAAAGCTCAAATACAAAAGTCGAATCGCAAGATTTGAAATAGCAAATAATATAACGCATGTCTATTCAATCCATCACAACAAAATCAAATCATAAATCGTTTGAATTCTAACAGTCTATCTATTATAGTAAAAAAATAAACTGGGAAATAATATTTTAATAACTGGTTTGAATTTGAAAGTTTCAGATAGAAAAAAAAATCAACATTGAAGAAGTCTGTTCAGTTCGACATTCCAACCACCTGAAGAAGTTTGGAGCGTACAACGGTCGAAACGTTGTAATCAATATGGCGACAAAAATGAGGACAACAGACCGAATAATGCAAATAGTGTACAAAATACCTCATCTCAGAAATATAGACAGATATGTTTTTGTCTGGTGCGTTTTTATACTACTTTTAAACTCACGCGCAACTAATTTGTAATTCAGAGTTGTACTTCAACTCGAGTGGCTGCTAACAAAGGCAAGAGTTCCTAGTCTGCTTTGCTATTTAACCAATAGTTGGGTGATGGGAAGAGGAGATGAAGTAATGCTATTCCCAACAGTATTTGTGCGAAAGGGCAATCAGTAGATTTGGCGGGAATTAGAACTTATCTCGCCGATTCCACTCCATGCACCGATAACAGCCACACTACCAGCACCTGCTGTTGTCTTTACCTACATTGTATACAAACGAAACTTTATAATGAGTGTCTTTAATAATAACTACGATAAGGCGAGACATATAAAAACCATAAAATATGCTTCTTCTCACAAATGGGAGACTCCAGGTCGTGTATGAGGAAATATCGTTTGATTTGACGAATGTCAACTTAAAAAAAAAATCTGTATAAAAGCGGAAATTGAAACAACGATCATAATATTCAGTAATCTTTGTGCCTTTCTAGGGTGAATATTTGTTCACCATTTTTAATGTGCCACATAAGAACACGAAATGAAATTCTGTTCCTAATGAAAAAAAAATCTACCTTTACTAATTCATTTTCCTCGATGTGCTTTTTCCCTTCAGGATATTGGCGATTATGACCCTGCACAGTTTCCTGTCCTTTGTAGCTATTAATAAATGTTTATATTTTTGTTATGTCTTCTAAACGTTGCTCCATCATCCATTTACTCAAACTGTTTAGGTAGGTTATTCAATGTTTTACTCTGTCCCTCTTGCCTTCAATCTGTCCTGTGAGTATCATATTTTCTAAGCACCCTTTTCTCAGCATATAACTTAGACATGCCATTGTCTCTTTTTGATTCTAAGTATAAGTGTCCTTTTTGTTTCTATTTTCTCTAAAACTTCGTCGTTGCTCACATGTTCGTTCCATGGTATTCTCAATATCCTCCTGTAGAATCACATTTCTGGTGCTTCATGTCACTTTTTCATCTGTAGGAAAGATTGTTCAATATTTACTGCCATATAGGAGGACTGATATTACATAATTCTTCAGTCCTCTTTTCTTTTTCTCTTTGGATTTCAGTGCCGCACTTTCCGTATTCTCAGATATTTAAATTGTTTTACTTGTTCGATTTTGGTATTTCCAATTTCTAATTTTCATGTCGGGCTGATGTTTTAGCTAACAACCATGCATCCAGTCTTCTTGCAATTGGTGTTTAGTCCTTTTTTTTCTATTATTTCTGTATCTGTTATCAACATTGAGTTATATGATTATGATGTTAAAATATTGTGTCCGTCAATAATGTATCCTTGTAGAATTTCTAATTCTCTCCGATAATTTCTCTCTCTGGATAGATTGATTAATTCTAGTGAGCAGACAAATCCTTGTCTTACACACCTTTATATTTTTGAATATTTCAGTCAGTTATGTGAAATGCGTGATACAAGCTGCAGCGATCATGTATCTTTCGATAAACGACTGACAATGCAGATTTTTTCCCACAGTAGTTTGCTATTTCTTTCTGTGGTAGACCAGTTGCCATTCAAGGCTAGAGAACCCGGCCTATCCTGATATTTACCCATAGTTTTGAAGAAGAGGATTCATACCGTTCCCAGGAGTATTAGAACATGGAATTGACTGGAATTCGAACTCGGTTCTCCGTTTCCTCAACCTGAGCCGCTATCCATTACTCCATAGTGCCTCTTTTGAATATTTACGGAACTCATTTTCTATCCGTATACAGGCGGTTGGCTGCCTGGTCTAAGAATAAACTTGGCTGGTTAAATATCTATAGAACACAGCTATTAGACGAGACGTTTTCTGGCTGACGTAGGTGCGCATTTCGCACGAGTGGACAGCATTTGAGCTCAGGTAAAATGACTAGGATATCGAATGCTATTTTTTAAGCAGCCATTGCGCACTTGTAAAATGTTGCAAGCAATATTTCTAACCCATTTTTTATATTTAAACTTGCGTTAACTTTAACTAGGGACAGGATGTATATATGTATCTGTGTATGTATGTGTCTATGTATGTGTCTATCATAATTACATACAGCTGTAAACCTTTTTTTTGCGTATCTATCTCTTCAAAAGACCAGCGGCTAGACTGAGGCCGCGGTGAATGGTCATACATATGTCCATTATTGTGCGGGACCAATGAAGACATGACATATGCTTTTTCTATTTCAGTCGGTTCACTATCTATCTATCTATCTATCTATCTATCTATCTATCTATCTATCTATCTATCCTTGACGACAAGAGTCTATTATCTCTCTTTCTCTCTCTCTCTCTCTCTCTCTCTCTCTCTATCTATCTATCTATCTATCTATCTATCTATCTATCTATCTATCTATCTATCTATCTATCTATCTATCTATCTATCTATCCTTGACGACAAGAGTCTGTTACCTCTCTCTCTCTCTCTAGTTCAGTCTGTCCATATCTATCTATCTATCTATCTATCTATCTATCTATCTATCTATCTATCTATCTATTACAAAAATCACTTTCCCGATTTCTGTTTATGTTGGACTAAGAAAGGCCTATTGCTCTTCTAGAAACGTACGATGAGAAATCATGAAATGTGGTCAAAACTTAATCACTGGGCATACTTTTTTGCATTGATGAAATTGTGTCTTGTAAAATATTCGATAATAAACAACAACGTCAGACTGAATAAATAAAACAATGAAATAATAAAAAAACTCAGCCATTGAGTTTTATGAACCTAGAGGGCTCCTACTGTAGAGCAAATTCCCACAGAACGGTTCGTTAGTTTGGTGATTTTTATCCTCACTGAGTATTCAAATCTCATGGCCCCGTGCTATATGCCATCCTTAGTAAATAATCATACCGGCCTTGAGTGGAAATTTAAATGGTCACACTATGCAATGGTCCAGAGCACGGGACCAGGTATTCTCAAGATTCTAACAGTTGTTTTTTACGATACACGGTCTCTTTTCACTGGAGAGTTTGAGCCAACATAATCTTCTTACCGTCAGCTTCCTCCTTTATTTTACCTTTTGCCAGACTTAGATAAGCTTAGTAAAGACATATAAGATAAGATGAGATATAATATGGCGAAGGGAAACGCAAAAGAAAGAAAATGCATAAAAGAAATTCAAGGTACCGGCTTTTATGGTTTCTGTCCATCCATAGCATGAACGTCAAAGCAAATTCAAGACGCCGAATTTAGATGGAATGAAAGGGTATAGTGGGAGAGAGGGAATGTGTGGGAGAGGACTAATCGAAATAGCGAGAAGAGAAGGGTGAGATAGAAAAGCGAGAAAGAAAGGAAGAAGAGAAAAAAGAGACATGAAACTAAAGAAAGAAAGAAAGAGAAAAGAAAGAGGAAAGGAAAGAAGCGAGGACAAATAATATGAGAAAGAAAAGCGTAACGAATGGCGTAGATAGAGTGAAAAGAAAAATAGCAAAAAATACCTGTAGCAGGTAGGCACATCAATAAGTCCGTCGCCTAATGATGACAGCATTTATTTTCCACGTCATTTTTCAGCATAATCGCCTTCTTTGTAAATTCCCTTGATTCAGTGTTGAACTATAAAGTGACAGTTTCAGTTAATAACCGTGACAGGCTATGGAGTTATTAGTTCACCTGCATGGAAACACACACACACACACACACACACACACACACACACACACACACACACACACACACACACACACACACACACACACACTATTTTTAAGGGTAAAAGTGTTCTATATCAGCGATAGATAGGATGCAAATATAGAAGTGGACACTGAGGTTAAAACCGAGTGGCAATAGCCTGTTTCATGCTTAAACGCTATCTTCAGGCCACGCGCTCGGGTACACACACAGACACGCACACACCGAGAGACATATAGACACACATATATATATATATAATTGTAAAACATATTAACTATATATATATATAGATATATAGATATATATGTAAGCAAATATATGGATATAGATCCGACAGTATGAAGAAAAATATACGGAAAAAAACACATATTTTTGTTTGTTTTCTTTCCGTATATTTTTCTTCATAGATATATATATATATAAATATATATATATATATATATATATAATAGTAATATATTGCATTTCAAACTAGTCACAACACATTACATTTCATCTAGACATGTTCTGTTGTTAATATTTCGTTCTCTCACGTGGTACGACGTCATAGAACTGCATCATGAATTTCCGACCTGCATATGCGTGTGTGTGTGTGCGCGCGTATTAATAATCTAATAAATATACTATTTTATTAACATCAGCACTCAATATACAATATTATCTATCTAGCTATCTATTATTTTTCACCTCAATCAAGCCAATAAAGCCGCTAAAAGACAAAGGGTTACTAAGTGTTAAAGAACAATAAAAAGAAACATTATTAAGGAGCCTGAACATTAAAAAAAAAAGAATTAAGAAGACAGTAGATAACGATTGACATTGCATTTAAATTTTTGAAGATCAAAGTTGATTAGGAAAGAAGATGCTGGAAGAGAGATTTACGAGCGACAGAAGAAACTGTTAGCAAAGAATTTACGCTTACATTTAGCCAATTTAACTGTAAAATAATGATACCTTATTGTCAATCTCGTACTGTTCATAAGCAAAGTTGATCCGAACAATGACCATGAAAGTATTTATAGAAAAGTCACAAGGAAGATACGTTATGGCGGTCAGAAAGTGACTGAAGCTGGAATGACAGGTCACGACCAATAATACTGCAGATTCTTCTTTGGATTTTATCTAGAATCTCTAAATATATAGCAAGATCACCAGAGCTTATGTGGCAACAATACTCAAACCATGCACGAATGGTGGACTTATAAATATGTAAGAAATTCTAGAGAGCAAAATTGAAGTTTCACCTTTCTTATCAAGCTTGATAGACTATTTGACCAATAATAGTCACTACATAAGCGAAAGACATATTACTTATCTGAAACAAGACACAGGAAACCAACTTTCTTAACAAGCAGATCTAGCAATTGATTGAATATAATCTATCCACTTCATGTCAACAGAGAAGCTTAGTCTGGGAAAGCGCAATGAGTCATTCTTTTGGAGGCTAGCATCAGCTATACTGATGGAAAGCAGGAAGGTGTCTCTCAGATGATTAATAGAAAGTTGTTTTATTTTGGAGGCGTTAAAATTAAGAAGCTATTCCCCGTTCAAGTTAACAGCAGATCACTTTTGGGATCAGCTAACAATTTTGATGTTATCAAAGCGATCAAACTTACAATTAAGTCAGGAATAAATAGTTGTGTTGATATCCAGTTGAAAGTTGACGTCATCAGAAATATCAATTAGTAAGAACGTAGATTCAAGAACCCAGGGGGAGACACCTGCATTAATAGAAAAAGATCTAGAAAATTGACAGTATGATATAAAATATTGCTTCAGTTCAAAATTTTTTCCAGAGATACAATAAACTTTCAACTTGTGAAGAAGACAGGTATGCTTAACCCTGTCAACTGCTTTCGATATATCCTAAGCAACAACCGAGTTTCACCTTTCTTATCAAGCTTGATAGACTATTTGACCAATAATAGTCACTACATCAGTAGCTGACCTATAGAAGCGAAAGCCATATTACTTACCTGAAACAAGACACTGCGAGGTTAGATGCTTAACCAACTCAGAGTTGATTAGAGGTTCTAGTACTTGCCACGGAGGTACAAAGCTAATAGGTCGATAGTTAGAAGGATTAGATGATTCCTAAAGACTGGAACTACAGGAGAGAATTTCCAACAGGAAGCAGACAGGCATTTATCATAAACTTTAGTATATATTTATATATATAAATATTTATATATATATATATATATATATATATATGTGTGTGTGTGTGGGGAATATATATAATAAAAATATAGATTTAGGGGTATATATTTATGGGTAAGAGTGCTCAATATCATGGATATAGCGTATATAAAGATAAAAGTGGATGCTTTGGTAACATACAACAGTTCACCCCTGTTTCATGCTTGAACATAAAATTTAAGCCTGAAGGTTGCGTTGAAGCATGAAACAGACGGTGATCGCCAGGTGTTGACCTCAAAGTCCATTAGCGCATGAGCGCGTGGCGCGCACACACAAGCACTGTGGAAGGAAAAAGATGAACTTTGCACCAATGAAATTGCATATTAAAAAAACGATAAATGTAAACAGTCAATTGCTGATACCCACAGACACAAGTGGACTGAGTGATTGCTGGAGGTTCCGTCTACGAAAATTTGGAGTCAGGGTGCTGAATGAAACAGCAATCAGCTCAGCAACAAATTTCATATTTTATCTCTCTCTACCTCTTTTTCATATATATATATATATATATATATATATATATATATATATATATATATATATATATATGTACGGACAGAGAGCGTTATAATTAAATAAAACAGACAGCGTTATAATTAAATAAAATAAATAATATATATATATATATATATATACATGCAGAAAGAGAGAAAAATGACAGAGACAGACACACAGAGCCCTGACCATAAACTGAACATACTTATATAAAGAATTTCGCCAATCACCTACCCAAAATAAATAGACAATCTAAAGTCCATGACCTTAATTAACGTTAGACATCAACCTTAAACAAAAGAACTGGGAAAGGATGATTTCCTGCTTTTACTAAAGGAATAGTGGTACTTGGTTCCATTGAAGTGGAAAAAAGACAGTTACCATGCAGTGTTGATATCTATCTATTTCTCTATTCATCTATTATGCCTGGTATTATTATCAATAAATAAAAAAAGTTTCACGATATTTATCGATAACCAATTAAAAGTTTCTCGATGTTAACAATTCTCTTTTTAACTTTTAACGTTAACATTGCGTAACCTTTATTGGATCACTGATAAGTATCTCAAACTTCTTTTTATTTATTGATAATGATTATTGGTCTAGGTATCTACTGAACCTTATTATCTACAAAATTCTGCTCACATAGACATCCGTTAAATAAAATAATTTTATGGATATCAGTAGGTGTTGCCTAAGTGTATTTTATAGATTATAGATTATGCAAAAGCGTTTGACAAAGTACGCCACAAAATCTGCTAGAACGTAACATTGACATGCATATTTGTTAGAAAATGGAACTGTCCAACATGTAAATTAAAAATTAGAGATACCACAATCTAATGAGTAAACAACTTATCTGGGAAGTGTTTTAACAGAGGTCGGCAAGAGCGTCACAAAAATTCGAAGACACATTGGGACAGAGAAAAATATCTTCCAAACGTTAAGCAACGTGTCAAGGAACAAGAACATTTTTGTTAAAAAAACGAAGAAAAATTTACTGCATTGTTATTTAATATCGGTCAACCTATATGGCAGTATATGCTGGACAATCTCTTCACTGATGAAGAAGAAACTTGAAGCAAGAGAATGTGATACTGCAGAAGGATACTGAGAATACCATGGACCAAAAATGTGAACAACGACGAAGTTTTAGAGAAAACAGAAACAAAAAGGACACTTATATTTAACATAAGAGATTCTAAGAAAGAGTGTTTGGAAAATTTGATACACACAGGACAAACTGAATGCAAGAGGGTCAGTAGTAAACATTGAATAACCTACATAGCGAACTTGAATAAATGGATGGTGGCACAAGGTAGAGAGAGAACAAGAAGAGCTACAAGGATAGGAAATTGTGGAGAATCATGATCACCAACTTCCTGAAGGGACACGGCACTTGGAAGAAGAAATATAGAAGCTATGTATCCAAATGGCAGTAGGAAACTTTTCCTCCACCAATTCTGGCAAATAGTGAGGATATATTTCGAGAAGTAACATTAGAAATCCTAACCTTTTAACACAGCTCAGTAACCAATCGATGTCACCGATGGGGAAAAGCATCAACCTCAGCAAACCGTTATAAAACAAATAATAAATATTGACAAACAAAAAGGATAAACTTGGGTGAATATATATTTTTAAATTCAAGCACTTAAAGAAATCTTATTTAAAAGCCGTAAGAAAAAGAAGGAAAAACATCGCTCTCTTTTCTACATTGCACACCTTTCGTTAACCATTTCTTTTTTTTTTTTTTTTAAGATGGCGACTAACGGGTTAAAAGCATTGGCTGGCTGTGTTAGTGGCGGTGACTGGCCAGGGAAGAAAGTGATCTCTCACTGCATAAAAGATCTTCCGCTCTCTTGTACTGGCTTTTACGTTAACTCAACGATAATCCAGGCTAAGTCGTTTGAACTACCGTAGAGCATTCAGTTCTCTCTCGATCGTCGTCGTCTTCTTCTTTATCGAATAAGAGCGAACAACGAAGGTTGAACCATAAAACCATAACTTTGACTTTCCAATGCGGCCTTTCTTTCATCATAGATGGATTAGACGAGACTGGTCGGTCGGCTCTAGGATAATGCACTGCCTGACTGTGATTTAGTTTTATACTTGAAATACTGGTCATTCTTGAATAAAACTCGGAGTTTGCCTATAGCGTTTCTGCAAACATTCTTTGTGCTTCATGCTCACAAACTTTCTACCGGCGGTACATCAAGCTATGTCCAGTTGGATCTCAGATAAAAGTCTGTTCTAATATTTGAAGGCGAGCATATTTTATTAATTAACCTGGTCTACAAGGTACGTGACATAAAAATTACACTGATGAGATAGGAGGTATAAAAATCCGCTGCCTTGTGGTGCAAAACTCCTGGGACGCTGATTCCCACATCATTAGAATTTTAACCTCTTCAAATCCAGGATCAATCTTTATATACCCTACATATCATAATTCTTACCTACTCCTCTTACGTTCATACAACACCATTCAGTAAATCTCTGCCTTCAGTGACACATGGGCTTTGTATTAGGTGAATAATTAGGAACAATGTTCAAGGATAGAGTCCTGGGACACGTCGACATTAGTGTAAGAAATATAGAAGAGTAGCCGTAAAAGAGTGCTTTCATTTCGCGATTTGCTAAAAAAAACATTGAATCAAATAAAAAATTCGTCTCAAAATATAATAACTTTTCAACTTGTGACGAAGACCAGCATGCCAAACCCTGAAAAATGCCGTCGAGATGTCCAAAGCAATAGCCCGAGCCCGAGCTTTACCATTCTTATCTAAAGCGTAACAGACTCTTTCAGCAATAACTGTTAACACATCAGCAGTTGACCTAGAAAAATGAATGTCATATTGTTTGTCGGAAGGAAAACTCTGCGAGGTGAGGTGTTTAACTAATTCGGAGTTGGTTAGAGCTTCTGGGACATTTGCCAAAAAGAGATGGAAGACTAATACGTCGATAGTTAGAAGGGTCAGACGGTTCACTTGAGTTCTTCAAAACCAGGAACTAAGGAAGAGGATTTCCTACAAGCAGGACAGCAAGAAGAGGCAAGGTAATTATTATAGAGTTTAGAGAGAACAGGAATCATTACGGGTACCAATTCCCTTAGTGTTATTTTAGGGATACCATGAAGTCCTCCTGTTTTGCAGTGATTCAGTTTAGATGGATGGAGTTATATGCAGAACAGATAGTAGAGACTCGGTTCTGAGTCGTAAGTCAGGTATAGATACTTCAGGTGAGTCAATAGTAGAATTGGAAAAGAATTTACAAGGAAAACATCGTGACAACACCATAAATTCATTGGAGAAGGACGGAATACAGGACTTACTCTTATTTAACACATTATTACATAGTCGCCAGTAATCACGAGAAGAAAACTTGTTAGAGGTTATACGGTGTATCATTCTGACAGTTATAGGATGTGAAGAGCAGGGACAAAATGGTGAACGATTGTCCGGAGTGCTTTATGGGCAAGGTATTTTGAATGGATTGCTTCTGTCTGGCTTTTAGATATGTCTCAAACGACGCGATTGTAATAGAGAGGACGCAAGAATTCTGAAGCCTCGACGCGACTCCCACACTCAGGTTGAGAGACTTACTAAGACCATCCACGGAAAGGCGCTGAGCCATCTTTGAACATGCGTTCCTGTGACGTCATTCCTCCTGTTGTTTTATAGATTCCAAGCTGTCACCACTCTTTCCTAATAAAAAGAATGAGAAAAAGAAATCGTCTTTTTTGTTGATTCCATTTTATGTAGTAGCGGGAGGACCCAGAGATAACACAGAACGCAAGATGTGTTCAAAGATTTCGCCTCATTGAGGACCACCTTTACAATTATTCCGAGTAGACACAAAGAGACGGCTATTGTGATCGGAAATGTCACGCTGGTACTGCCGGAAAAGTAATTCCGGTTGATTATAGTGGTTGAAAAGGCAGGTGTGAACCTAGAAAATAATTGTGGTTTCAGCCGGTATTTCCGAGAAGGCACAAAAGCATCGATGCCGGCTTTTACCCAAAGAAGAATCCCTAGTGGCAAATTGTCAATAGGAATGTTACATATTTCACTTCAAGGGTCCTCACGAAAAAAATGAAACGAATCCTAATTCTTGTGAATATGGGGTTCATGTCTAATAGACGAGCAAAGGAAATATCAACAGATACTACAGTGTGATTTGAATTACTAAGAGGAATTGCGATGTTCGACAAGTGACAGGGTGAGAATCTGATTACAATCTGGAATCAAGATTTCGTTGTACAAGTTGGTTGTATAAACGAATGACCTTTTAATGAATATACTGTTATTAAACAATTCATGTTTTGAACTGGTATAATTACTTTGGAATAATACAACGTTTCAGCCAATGCATTTTCAGTCTTCTTCAATTGTATATTGGATCGGCTAAAATTTGGAAATTTTCTGAAGAATTCACACATCTACGCATAAAAGATTCATGCTCTTCATTGCTCTGTGAATTTTTTTGAATTGCGTTAGTGTTCAAAATTTGAAAAATTAAATTTAAAAAAAATGGAATAATTGGGGAGATTATACAGCTGAAGAATACAGCAGACGTTATTGGCCGAAGCACAGTGATAAAAAAATTAAAAATGACGATACAGCTCTCAATAGTTCATCGAAAAATGACATTACTTACAATGAACACTTTAGACTAGTTTTGGAAGGCTGGAGAAGGCACCTGTCGATGTATAGAGATAATGATATAAAATAGCAACACGGTTTCATTCAGCCAAAATATGTAATTTTCCCATCGATTTTAAATTGGTTAAATTTAATAATTTCATGATTTATAATTAGTATTGTTCAATGTATACGTTTGGGTCATTTAACTACCAAATGCACTATGCCATTTATTGAGAAAGCTTCTGTAACGACATGCAACTTTAGTTATCTCAAGACCTCTTTGTGACCTTTGAAATTGTTACACTTAGTATTTGTAATCATTTTCAATTATACGTGCTGGGATCACCACGGTCAGTAATCGCATGCAAAGCCTGACCGGTGTCAGTTTGCAATCAGTCCCGGACACTTGTTTGTTCCGGGTTAGCTGGTAAAAGTCAGAGCTGTTCTCCTTCGGATCGGGAGACCAGCCAATTATACTGGCTTCTGTTCGATAGGGCTCTGATCATACTCGATGTTGTTTAGTGCATTAAATCAAAAATTGGCTACAAGCCCCGCAGCTAACGACTCTCAAGTGAACAACATGTTCAGCCGAGATATGCTTGAAAAATAATACTTCCTTTTTTTTTTTTTAAGTTTATTATGAATATAGATTTTTCTTATTTCTTCAATTTTTTCTCTGTGTCGTTTTGGACATTTTTTTTTCTTGTAAATCCTACACGAGCCTAAAAACCCCCAACCCTTTTCTTTCTTTCTTTATCACTTTTCTTTCTTCTTTTTTCACTGCCTTTAGATTTGATCAGTTAAGAAGATAAGAAAGATTTGTGCAGGACAAACGCTGTGTATGTTTTCTGATTCAGAATAGACCTGCTTAAGGTACAGTGGTTAAAGATTCGAAATGTGTACTCGCACACCTGAGTTCGAATTCTAGTCGAGATCATTATATAAAATTTTGTACAAATAACATTAGGAAAGGTAAGAATCCGTCTATTCTCTCTTCAGTTAAGTATTAAATAACTAGGCAGATGGGGACTCTTCGGAGATTACATATTACATAACAGTTCTAGAATTCTTTCTTTGTTTTTAAGTCTATTTTCTATCTCTTTGATTAATATCTGTGTGTTGCCAGCATATTTCACTATACCTCTTTGACAAAGGATTTCTGTAGCACCCTTTTCATAGTCTGTTATGACATTATATAGTGAGGGAAATTTCTGCATCTGCTTGATATTTATGTTCCCAAAACATAGCTCACGCACTGGATTCTATTTTCTAGTCAACTATGTGTTCTTTTTGCTTACAGTTAACAGCCCTTCCTTCTTTCTTTGCTTTTACAACATTTTCTAAGAGTTCTTAAGTTGACTTTGCGAGTCTGCCACCAACACGGTGACATCCAGGTATCTTATGTTAAGATTATAAATGCATAGGCTTATTATAATTCTATCTATATCTCCATTAGTTAGTAATTTAGTAAGTTAGAATGTGCATTGTTATTATCTCATGGACCATTTCGTTTTGATTGTGAGAAAAGACAGAAGGAAAGAATATATCAGAGACAGGGATTGTTTTTAGTGAGAAAAATAAGGTAATATATAATAGGAAGAAGAAGAAAGAAAGGAAGTAAGAAAGAAAAAGGAAAAGAAAGAAAAAAGGAAAAGAAAGAAAAAAGGAAAAGAAAGAAAAAGGAAAAGAAAGAAAAAAGGAAAAGAAAGAAAAAGGAAAAGAAAGAAAAAGGAAAAGAAAGAAAAAAGGAAAAGAAAGAAAAAAGGAAAAGAAAGAAAAAAGGAAAAGAAAGAAAAAAGGAAAAGAAAGAAAAAAGGAAAAGAAAGAAAGTGGAGTTAGCGATCTCCCGCGTTTAAACCTCTGTTCTGTAAAATGAAAGACCATGTCAATTTTGAATCTTTTCATCTGTGCCCACTTTAAATAATGACCTGCGTTCATACATTAGATTGTTATCGGAGTAGTTTGTTAAACTTGTTAAAGCTCAATTATTTAACAATGCAATAGGGATAATTTTCAAGTTGACTTTATGGGCATGGAACTCGGAAGGAGCTTATTCAAATTTAAACTTAAGTATTAGGATTCATCAGAAAATTTAAATAGGAAAACTGTGAAATTTACACGGGTACTGATAGTGAATAATAAATACTGGTAAGTCCCCTATTTCTATTTGAATTTTTTCGCTGCATAGATTAAATAAATTCGGTGAGAAAATGCACTCTTGACTTACTCCTCTTTATAATTTTGTGTATTTACTTACCTCATTGTCTATGAGCAGGATGCTTTTTTTGAGTAGAGATTACTTGAATATAAATCAAGCGTTTCTATGAGGTAAGTAAAAAAATTATCTTTTTCGCCATAGTGTAACCCGGATATAAGAGACCCGGATATAAGAGAAACCTGGATATAAGAGAGATTTTCTCTGGTCCCAAATTAGAGCCCATACTTACCTAAACAAAATAGACCAAACCCGGATATAAGAGAAACCCGGATATAAGAGACTTCTTCTCCGGTCCCGACAACTCTCTTATATCCGGGTTACACTGTATCTTTAGATATGTCACACTGCCTTCAGATCAAGCGTGCTTATAATTGGTACTATAGTGAATACGTGATCTAAGTTTGAGCTTGATCGCGCCAGTTTTCTTTATGCTGTTACAGTATAAACATGGCCACTCCGTTAACAGTTTACAGCAAGGAGGAACAATGAGCAGTGATTCGATTTCTCTGGTCGGAAATGTCTGTCAGGGGCTGAAATTCAACGGAGGCTATTAACACAATACGGCCGTGCACTACAGCGTAGAAGGGTGTATCGGTGGATGGAGAAGTTTAAAAATGGTAGGACATGCGTGACGCTCCAAGAAAGAGAATGACACTGGACAAACACTTCCACTGACGAGAAGATTCAACAAGCTCGAAAGATGGTAATGTCGAACCAGCGTTTTATCATCGATGAGGTAGCATATCCTCTATAGATTAGAATCACCACTTTTTATTCCTCCTTGGTGCACACGCCTAGCAGACCCGCCATGTTTATACTCTAACAACAGCAAGAAAACAGGCCCGATCAAGCTCAAACTTCGATTTAGGCAGTGTGACAAACCTAAAAATATGTTATGGGTAACGTGCGGATAATTTTTGACTTACCCTCGTACTATTTCATGCAAAAGATTTTCTCGTCAGAGTCCATCTTGTGCATTTACAAATCGGTTGAAATATATAAAATTTTTCTATTAAAAATCTTTTTCAGGAAAATAGTTTTCTCTTGTCCGCTAACTAATACCGCTCTTTCAATTATTGATAGGGGTTTCCTTCCTAACCTTTCGTTTAAAGTCGAGATGTGAACTACGGATTGAAGGTGTAGACATCAACCAAGTAGAGAAGTTTAACAATCGAGGAAGTGTTTTAACAGAGGATGGAAAATGCGACATCGAAATCCAAACGCGAATTAGATTAGCGAAAAATGCATTTCAAAAGCTAAGCAAAGTATCAAGAAATAGAAAAATTTCGTTCGAAACAAAGAAAAGATTACTGAACTGTATTGTGGACAACCTGAGCACTCTACAAGACTATTTAAACAGCACTCTTACTAAGGGAGAGCAGTTAATGATTACTGTTTATTGAGCTTGTTGATTCTCTGCCCCCGAGAGGAACTCAGACGCGGCTATGCCGAAAGGCAGAGTCTCGTCTGGGGAGGTAGACAGCCATTTTTGCCTGAGCCTTCGGGAAGCCCCACGTAAAAAAAAAACGGGCTTGTAACACATCCCGCCTTGTGGGGAGGTATCCAGTAAATACAGCGCACTTAACGGTTAGAGTTCGTTAAAGCTCTGCTCGTCGATCTCTCTGTCTCTGGGCAAAGAGGAACCCAGACGAGGCTATGCACACGGGCGTAGTCTCGTCTAGGGAGGTAGACAACCACACGACCCTGTGTATGCCGGGTCTACGGGGTATTTTTGCCGGAGCGTACGCGCTCGGAATAACTCTACGCCTTGTGGGAAGGTCTCGGGTTAATAAATAGGAGTTAATAATGAACTGCTTATTACATAAGTTTAGGTTATCAACCCCGTACCATATACTTCTCCGGAATGAACTACTTCTTATTTTCTATATGTGTCAACCTTTCCTATTTACGCCACGACATTATGTATTATCGATCTTGTAGAGTAGTGGATACTGGGCAGTGTTCTACGGAAGGATGTTGAGAATACCACGCACGGACCGTGTAAACAACAAAGAAGTCTTAAGAAAAATGTAAACAAAAATTTATTGATTTAGTTTGGTTTATTTTGGTTTACGGCATATCAACCTCAATGGGTTATTTAATGCCGATAAAATTTTTATTGTTGGTAATATTTTGTTTTGTCAAAAAACTATTTCTCGTAATATATTTCCTTCAAAATTGTATTGCTAGTAATAATTTTTTTCAAAAAAGTATTGCTGGTAATAGTTAACTATTTGTCCATAGCTGGGACCCTAACAGGTGCTACCACACCGGGTCAGGGTGGAACTGAGAACACCAGCAATTAAGAGGTGGTTCCACGCTCCTCAAAACCTCCTGATCAGAGGCATTGCTGCTGGATGTAGTTTAACGTCTTACCCAGGACGCGGATGTAGTTTAATGTATTATCCAGGACGCGGATGGAGTTTAATGTCATACCCAGGACGACAAAAAGTTATTGGAAGAGTGTTTTGGATAATTAGACATCCACGGAGCACATTGAAGGTAAGCGGACCAGGAGAAAGCATCTGGTCACCTACCTTACACACTTGTGTGAATGGATAGCTCAATGGGGTGTGTGGACGGCTTGGCAAAGGGATAAACGTTGCTAAAGCCTACAAAGGGTTGGAGGTTGTGGAGAGCCATGATCACCCACGTCATGAAGCGACGTGGCACTTAGAAGAATATCAATGTGAAGCGTCACCATCTTGGTTATATCATTATTTTCTCTTCGAGTTTCAAATGGTATCCATTTTAGCTGCTGCTGCTGTTGAAAGTACTCAGGGGATGTCATTTTTGATATCTAGTAGAGTTATTTGTAATTCTGTAGCGCCAGTCCACAAGGTTCGAAGAAGGGTGGCCTTTGCTCAGATCTACTGGATCTTTCACTCGAAGCCATTTTTGACCATGGGTATGAGAAAGCATGTGTATAAGGCCGAACAAGTAACATTAAAACTTCTCAAAAATTCTTTTTTATAATCATTTGGCCCAAAGCAAGAAATAAATTCAATAAGACCCCATGAGGTTACTGAGTGTGAGAGAATATAACAAAACGAAATTATTGAGGAGGAAGAACAATAAAAGAACAGGAATTAACAAAACAGAAGATAACGATTGTCATTGCATTTAAATTTTTGAAGATCAAATTTGGCAGCGAAACAAAAAGCCGATAATCATCATCTTGCGGCCTTAGCCGAGATTGAACTCACCAATACTTTGATTGGTGTAGTTCATAATCTTGTCAAATAGCTGAATTCTTGATGCTTCCCTAGAGCTATCAAGGAGGTTTTTATGGTGACACCAACACTAAATGGATTGCCAACCAAGGCTCAGAAAGACTCCATTCACCCTCCTCTAAGAGCAGGTTTGAATTCAGTTTTCCTTCTCCTAGACCAGTTGCCATCCAAGGCTATAGAACCCAGTATGTCCTGCTATTTACCCTTAGCTGGAGGGAGAAGAAAGGGGATTCACACCTTTCTCTTTAGCACGTAAGTGAATGTAATGGATTCGACTGGAATTCGAACTCGGCTTTCCGATTCCTCAATCCAAGCCGCTATCCATTACTCCACCGTGCCTTCAAAAAGCCGAAAGAGCGTTCCACAAGCGAGAAGTGCGAGAGAAGAAACTGTTAGCATGGAACTTACGGTTACATCTTGCCATTTCAACTGTAAAATGATGAGACCTTGCCGACAATCTCGTACTGCGCTTAAATTCATAAAGTCTAGGTAGCACAGAGGAAAGGTCATCAGAACAATTACCATGAAAATATTTACAGAAAATGCATATTGTAGAAGCGACATTACGGTGGTGGGAAATTGACTGAAGCCGAGATGCCAGAACAAGATCAATAACATTTCACATTTTTCTTTGGATTTAATCAAGAATCTCTAGAGATATAGCGGGAGAAGCAGACCAGATATAGCAGGAATATTCAAAGCAAGGACAAATGGTAGACTTATAACTATATAAGCTCATCAGAAAAATTACTATGAAAATATTTATAGAAAAGAAAATTCAGACAATGTTGCCAGATCATTGCGAATATGAGACTTTATTTCAAACTCAACAGGGTTTTTTTTTCTAAAATATGTCATACTTTAAAAAAGAAAGAAAGAAAAGAATGAAAAAAATATATAGAAGAGAAAAAGAACAGTGTATGTATGAAAATTCAATTATTTTTATTTGACGTAATTTAGCACTGTTTTGTTCCCTTATGTTTTGTGTAACGCTATTTGCAGCGATCATCTTTCTTTGCATTTAATTTGAAGTTAAAATTGCTCGTAGATACAAGAGAAAAGATCTCAAACGAGATCTCGGGAGACCCACTGGGATGAAAAATTGATAACGTGATCTTTTTTTAGAAACACACATTATGTTTAAATGCCTTTTAGCTATTCGACACCCTGAGAAAATTGAATTGAGAAGCAACTGAATGAGGCGCTTTCTTTGAAACTCGAGAGTATTGTTTCGCAGTTATTCCATTAATTATTAGGACGAATATCCTTTTATTTGTGTTCCCCAACTCTAAGTTGCCAGCCTGACGAGTTTCAAGGCCTTCTTCAGTATTGTATCAAATTCTGAAAAGAACAATTGTTATTATTCCATAAATCTATCTGACATATTTATAAGTCTACGAGTCGTCCTTGTTGCAGAATCTGGCCTGGTTCTC